CTCAAAATTTGTGTGCAGAAACTTAGTTTCCTTTTTTGTTTTGAAAGCTACGAGAAATAGTTTCCTGATTAGTTTTGGAATCCAGAAGACTTGGGAAAAAAGGTTAAAAATTTGGGAAAGAAGTTATACCTGTTATCTTAGAGTTGAAGATGGATATGGTAACTCCTTGAAGGTAAGTTGATCATTGTCCAACAAGGAATTTGATTTGAGGAATACTTGTCCAATAAGGAATTGAGTTTTGAAGACTTTATAAATAGAGATGGGTATGAGGGGTTGAGAGAGAGAGAGAAGAGAGAAAAGATGTAAGGGGTTTAAGGGTGAGTGTTGTGAGGAGAGGGGAGAGTATATGTAATGCCCGAGTGTATACATATAGCCTCAAAAGGGATGATGAGTGAGTGAGTGGGGTTTTGACATATGGTTGTATATTTTCTTCCTTGATTCATAATAGTGAAATCTCTTTCTCTCATGGACGTAACCCTAGAGTTGGGTGAACCATGTAAAAAATTGTATTGTGCGTGGATATGTATGATTGTTATCTCTATGTATGCTTGTGTTAATGTGATGTGATGATACTTCCGCTGTGTGTGATGAAGGAGGGATTTAACTCTCAACAATAGCCGACCATTGAGTGGGTTGGAGGGAGTTAATTATCCCCAACAGTACACTGTTTTTTTGTTGGATGTTGGTGATAGGACGATGGTTTGGTTGCTGTCTTGATCGAAGTATTTTTTGTTCATTTAAAGACTTTGATATTGGACAAACAAATTGAAACACTATGCAAAGCGGGTGTCCTTTGTGGTTGCTTGACATGGTCTTGAATATTTTATTTTTTCCTCATTTGAAGACCTGGACAGACCCAATTTAGGAACTTCTTAAACTATGTTAATTTGTAAATTTGAGGTTAATGAGTTTGTAACTGATCAAGCTTGGTACTGTTACTGTATGCACCCTGTTAATGGACTAAGGGATGATTTAATTTGGAATGCAACCTGTTTAAATGTATGTGATTGGTACTGTTGTAGTCGTGTGTATGCAGTTGGGTTGTATTTGGTTTTCTTGCAAAATTTGTGTGTTATTTGGTTTGTTATATGATCGTCAGCTGCCGATTTTCTGAATGATCAAATTAAGTGTTATTTGGTGCACTTGATATACTTGTAATTGACTATGTTATTTTGCTGCTGACTGCTTATGCATGGGATGGTTTTTTAGGCTTGGTAATTGGTTCACTTGTATTATGTCTTTTAGATGGGTGCTATTTTCACGCTCTGCCATGCTTTCGCTCTCACACTTTGTATAACTTACAGATTTTGCTACTTTCGCACTCGACTCTCACACTCTGTCCCGCGCAGTCTGACTAAAGTTGAGTGATGTTTTGTTTCCATTTCTTGCATGGAAGATACGGAAATGTTCGCTGCTTGCAAATTGAAGTAGCACAACTGTCTGGTGTCCATTCCTTGTATGTGATAGACCATGTTCGCTGATTGCAAATTGAAGTTACACGAGTTCTTATCATCTACATTTATTTATTCAGTCAGATTTAATGCTTTAAAAAACATATATAAATCTGTGTTTTGCAAATTGATGTAATGCGTTAAAAAAGTGTATGGGTAGTAAGGGATTACATGCAGCAAAGGGTCTGGGCTCATCAGTAAGCCTTGTGTTCTAGGTACGTTTGTGCATGTGCTTGTTTTTGGCTCTTTACTGCTTAATTTGCCAATGTTATATATAATTATATCGATCTTTCCATTTTTGTTGATACAAAATTAATAATATTTCTTTCAACCTTTTTGAAAAATAAATTATACACTGAAAATGCAAGAACATATTGGAAGGAAGGGACACTCACTCCCTAAGACGCTATACGTTCGGTTAGTTTGGATGTAAAATACCTTTTAGAAAATATTTTTTTAAAAATTTTTTTTGGTGTTTAGTTGTCATAAATGTTTTACAAAGAAAAAAATATTAAATCTTAATAAAAATATCTTACCCATCAATTTTTGACAGGTTATTTAACACACCCCAATGGACTCTATCTCGACCTAGACATTTTCAAACATCAAGAAATATATATATATATATATATATATATATAATTTACCTGAAAAAGGAAATATTTTAAACAAATGGAGTCTAAGAAGAAAACTTTTGATATTTATATACTGAAATAATTTTTTTTAATTAAGTATAATAACCTATTTCAGGATGGATAAATAAGACTTGTTATGGAGAATTAAATGGAAAGCCAGAAGTGAGAAGTCAAGAAAGAATAAGATAAGGTGTGATAAGGTGTTGTGTATTACTATGTTTTTTAGAAACATTTTTTTTATAGATAAAATTAACTGTTTTCATATTACTGAACCAGCTCTTTAATTGTTTCCAATATTCAACCATAAAATGCAATTAATAATCTCAATTGGAATTGTATAGATTGTAGGCTAACAAAATTAAGTTGGAAGAATCCTTTTGTAGTCATGAGTACTTTGGGACACTGAGAATCCTTTTGTAGCTTCTTTAATTTTCCGTTGGAAAACCACACCATCAACCACTGCTTATGATGATATATATGTTCCATATTTGCAGCCAGTGTTTTTTTTGTCAAATGTGCATAGAGCATACATGAGACTTATTGGTCGAGTCAACAAAGCAGTTCAATTAATGTATTAAAGTTTTCATAATTTATAAGAATAAGAGTAAATTAAGCTGATTTAAAAAATTAAACCTTTAATTGAATACGTATTTTGGGCATTGTTCAGTAATATAATTGATAAAGTGTCCAACTATCCGAACAGATGTACTAGCATTCGAGTATCCCTAGTTTACTGAGAAAAAAAAAAAAAAAAAATGAATACGATATATATATATATATATATATATATAGCTTTAAATAGACCTTAAAGAATTAATTGTACAAGTCTACCTGCCCCTTCTACGAGATTTCTGTCGAGACAGTTGACCACCTTCTCTGCACATGTCCATTCGCCTGCCCGGTTTGGAAGCTTTGCCCTCTTCAGATTGATTCCAGTGATCAGTTCCTCTCTTCCTGGCAAAAGCGTTGGGTGGATCTCTATGCTCGTTGGAACGGAATGGACGACTCGAATGATTGTATCAGTTTGGCTGCATTCATTTGTTGGACTATTTGGAAATGCAAAAATGACCTTATTTGATGCTGACAAAAAAGCTTTCGTAGACTTTTCAGGATTTCAAGGAAATTTCCCCACAGTATCGGTTGCTCTCTCTACCCCCTCCTACTGCTTTATCATGTGAGAAGTGGACTGTGGCAGATGCGGGGTTTCTCAAACTTGACTTTGATGTTGCTTTTAATTCATCTAAGAGGACCTGTGGCGGTGGTATGATCCTCATAAATCATTTAGGCCATCCCATTAAATTCGCCTCGGTTTTTCTTGACTTTGTTAGTGACCCTTTGCTGGCTGGAGGTCTTGTCCTTCGCGAATCTCTTGTTCTTTTCAAAAGTTGGGGTTATCATAATGTGGTGGTGGGGGGTAGACTGTCCGCCTGTAATGAAGTTGCAAGTTTCTGTTGAAGGTGTAATGATGATTTTCAATGATCTTATCTCCCTCCTTAAAGATTGGGTTGGTTCTTCTCTTGCTGGTTCCTCGCGGGGAGATGTAAGTTTGTAACTCGTGTTAAGTGAGAAGGCTTTGTAGTCAAATGTGGGTGGCCACACTAATTGTTAGATGTTGTTCTCTCTTTTACTTGTTGACGGAAAAAAATAAAAATAAAATATAGTCAATTGACGCGAGATTGAGTCGAAATCGATGAGGCTGAACATCATTATACAATTCCTGTGTTGGCCACTAGCTCTCTTTCCTGGAAAATTATGGGGTTTGACTTGTTTGTCTCATCTCCTTCCACAAAAAGGCCAATGTCTAAAAAATTCAATATTCTCTCCTCCCACGAAGAGAGATGTATCTGGGAAGATTATAATATTTTAGTGTTTTGTTCCGCAATTAATCACTTCCAAATCATGGGTATGTAATAAATTTAAATCAGGCACGTTCTTAAGAATTGAAAAAAAACCTCTAAGTTATATTGCTTCCGTTTCATATTAGTTGTTCGCATTAAAAATTTTAACTCACAATTTTTGTGATTCAAAGTTATGAAAATAGACATTTAACATGATATATAAGTAATATATAAGTATAAAAAAATAAATATAACTAAAAATGATCTCAAATGAGTCAAAAGTAAAAAGTAACAGTGAGTCAAAGTATTTGAAATTGATAATTATTATGGGACGGAGATAATATATAAAAATCGGCCCAATAAGATTCCTCTCGTGTTATCCGTGTGTATGAGCTCATTTCATATTGAACAATTTGTACCCACTCCATCCTATCGTGCGCACAACATAAAATTTTCTTTTTTTGTAGTGATTATATATATAAATTAAGTTATATATATAACAGTACAAAAATATATATATATATATATATATATATATATATATATATAATGGATTAATGGCGTAAACCCTTATTGAACTATTAAATTTATTTACTCCACAATAACTTAATTTATATATATAATCACTACAAAAAAAGAAAATTTTATATTATGCGCACGATGGGATGGAGTCCGTCTCATATGACTTTTGATAAGAGCATCACAACAAAAGTCAAAGTGGAATCCGTCTACTATTGTGGTTGTTACCAAATTATACACTCCAATCTTTAACAAGAGTCTTTACTTGTATTGTTCTTTAATAAAATAAAAATAAAGAAGCAATTGTTAGGAGTTACGTCATACCATTCTTCTTCTAAATGGATGTACCTCCCACTACTGCACCGCATTATTTGACTTAAATGTTAGGAGAGGGTAATATAATTTAGAATAATAAAACATAGAGAAGGAGGTGCATCGGGAGAGAGAAGGCGCATAGCATAGGGTGTATTTTCAATCTCGAAACTCCATATAGAGTCAAGGAATGACGTGTAAAGACGCGTTACATAAATCTTTAAAATATTGATATCGATTAACTAAGATTCAAGGAATGAGGTGGGAAGCTCTAATATTGTACTGATTTTTTGGTTAAGGTTCGTGGAAGTTTCAAGTTGATAGTGACATTAGAAAAAATCATTAGTAGCAATTTCGTGCAATTTTTTTTTTTTTTTTTGAAAATTCAACCATAATATAAAAGGGCAATGCGCCCTTTGCACACACCTTGGATGAAAGAATCTGGGTATTGGATCAGCCCCACTAGTCATCTTTTCTTTAAGATTCATAAAACTTTATTAGAAGTAGTGATTTTTGGAGTTGCTTATCGTTTGCAACGGCCATAAGAGAAAATAGATGGCAACCTAGTTCCAACCACCATTTTTAAGGATGAACCTTTCCCCCTTTTCAAGCGTTCATCTTAGCTCTCAATTTCACCTTCTTTGGAGCAATAATGGTTATATCTCTATGCAAGAGATATTCGAGAATTGTTAAACACAATTGTCTAATGGTTAAATCTGTATGCAAGAGATATTCGAGAATTGTTAGATACGATCGTCTTCTTGTTATTGTTTCTGTAACAATAGCGGTTGCAATACTCATATGGTTAGTCTTACCCTTAACTTTTTGATCATTCTCATCTCGTTGCAATACAAATATGGTTAGTCTTACCCTCAACTTTTAGATTTATTTCATACCCATCTAGTTGCAATTCTTAAAACTTTGTTAGAAGAAGTGATTTTTGGAGTTGCTTATCGTTTGCAACGGCCATATGAGAAAATAGATGGCAACCTATATCCAACCATCATTTTTAAGGATGAACCTTCCCCCTTTTTAGGTATTCATCTTAGCTCTCAATTTCGCCTTCTCTGGAGCAATAATAGTTATATCTCTATGCAAAAGATATTCAAGAATTGTTAAACATGATTGTTTAATGGTTATATCTCTATGCAAGAGATATTCGAGAATTGTTAGACACCGGTCGTGTTTTTGTCGTTGTTTCTGTAATAATAGTGGTTGCAATACTCATATGGTTAGTCTTACCCTCAACTTTTTGATTTTTACTTCATGCCCATCTCGTTGCAATACCCATATGGTTAGTCTTACCCTCAACTTTTGGATTTACCTCGTGCCAACATAGTTGCAATACCAATATGGTTAGTCATACCCTCACCTGTAGGATTTTGGCACTAACTTCATGCCCGTCTCGAATTGTAAGGTAAAGAAAAATTAAAAAGTGTCTAGTACAGTTTGCTAGCATCGAATCGATGCTTTAGATTTGAAATTAAAATATATTTAGTTCAAAATTTTAATTAATTTCTTTTAATTTTACATTCAAAAAATTAATTCAATTCTCTCAAACATAACATAACAGTAAAATTTACTAATTCTAGAGTAAATTTCTCCTTGCTAACCCCTCGTACCAAGTCATATATTTACAAGGATAAAATAATTTTTTAAAAAAACGATAGACCACATGGGTTATTTGCAAATGTTGACATATATTTATTTTATTTTTAATCACTAAATTTCCACTTTGACACCTTACAAAAATTGACACAATTATTAATAAACTTCAAGAGCTATTCCTTGATTTAATTTAAAATGTATGCTTATTATTAAAACAATATTTAAGTGGTAAACGAAAGAAAACCTATATACCCCTATCAAGCTCAGCCGAGAAGAGAACTCTAAATTTTTTGCTATATATCTACTTATTGTGTGATATATAGCAAAAAATTTAGAGTTAGAGTCTAAACCACACAATTCTTTTTCAATTTTCGATTCAATGTGATAAATATTTAAATTCATAGCGAATTCTCAAATTAATTGAAAACAACTAATACATATGACATTTATTATTGATGAAAATTACCAAAATATACCTACTATTGAATAAAAACAGTTATAACATGTAAAATTAAGAATAAACCTACAATATTAAACAAGAATAACAAAACCTATCTAGAATAAATATATAGATTTCTAAAGTTATTAAGGAAAAATAAAATATATATATAGACTTCTAAAGTTGCATCGCTTTAAAAAATAGAAAATAAAAACATATTTTAATTTTACACTATAATTATTTACTGATATTATGTATTTCATAGCATAGAAGAAACAAGATTCCTCATATCTAAAACATATATATTTTTTTTAGTGCTTATAAAATTATATTTTTTATTATTTCATAAGGTATATAATAATATTAAACATATGTACAAATATTAAAAATATTATATATATAAATATATAATAACATACAAGCACGTCACTTCTCTAAATAATTATTTTATTTTACTTTATTTTTATTTTTACACTTTTGTTCCAACTTCCGCTCAGGCTCAATGTGACGAACAAGTCAACCTTGATTAACGCGTGGTGTTAATAAACGCGTGGTCTTTTTGCATTAACGCGTGGTGTTGGTTGTGCGTTAACGCGTGGTCAAGGTCAAGGTTTAAACTGCGGGCTTGCTTTTTTCTACTTGTTTTTTTCTTTGGCAGGTGCCGGCTTGTTTGGAACTTTCGTATACATTGTTTTTTCCTTTATTCTCCTCTGCTTTGATTGATAATTTGATATACTGGAGGCTTCTTGGAACTTGCAGTTCCTGTATCTTCTGCTTTGATATCAAGAATGGTGCTTCCAGGAAATATAAGGTTGGAGAGGATGCTTATAAAAGGCAATGTCCCGAGGAACATTTTCCCACACCTTTGAATGAAAAAAGGGAATTATTAATTGGGATCGTCCTCAGTAGTCAATCTTGTCTCGAAAATGAATAAAAATTCAGTAGAGCAAACGATTTTTGGAGCTGCCTTTGTGACAGTTATTGCTCTTCCACTACTGCCATATCAGAAAATTGGTGGCAACCCAGTGCCGACCATCATCTTTAACGACAACCCTTCCTCCTTCACTGCATTCGTTTTAGCTCTCAATTTTGCCTTCACCGGCGCCGTAATGGCTATATATCTACGAACGGCATGTCCGAGAATTGCTAGCTATTGTCGCTTTCTTGCTATTGTTTCCATTGCAACAGCGGCGGCAATACCTATGTGGTTAGTCTTAACCTCCACTTCCGGACTTCGCCCTCAATTTCATGCCCATATTGATCTTTAGTTCCTAAACTCATGTCTCTGAATTTTCATCAATAAAATAGAGTACACAAAGTATTGAGGCAAAGGATACTGCTGGTTTTTTTCCTTTCTTTCTTTCTTTATTTCTTTCTTTTCTTGTTTTTGGTTTTGTTTCCCCTGTGTGTGTGTGTGTGTATATATATATATATATAAATAAAATAAGGTGTTATGCCAATTCACTGGCTTCATTTCATCAGCACAGCAATAAATGATTATTGCATCTATGTGCCACCACCTAGTGTTGTGATTGTGCGACTACACAACCAGAGGGATGATGAGCTGAAGAGGAGTTGCATATCATGGTAATATAGGGGGCTTTGTGTTGCTTGGTATTTCACCTAAGGTAAAATATTCCTGTGTACTGATGAGTTTTGTTAAATTGAATGGACAAATGAGTTGATTAAATGAATCCATTGCTTCTCACTGTAAACTTAAATCTAGAACAAAATTTAAGGAGTTTAACAAATGAGTCAATATGAACAAACAAATAAACTATTATATATATATATGTGTGTGTGTGTGATATATATAGGGAGCAAAATCAATAACGGTTTGTAATTTTCATTATAGGAAACTTTTCCATAAAATAATTGCCAGCAGATGACAAATTTATTGGAACACAAGTCAATTATGTTAGATCCAACTCCAACCTATGCTATAACAAATAAGAAAATTATGCACAACAATTTCTTTTTTCTTTTATCTACATAACTTTACTCAACTGGTTTTTCTTTCCCCTGTTTTTGGCTAGACATATTGCGTCTGCAATTTGATCTTCACCAGATGATCTGGGCTTGTATTCTCCTGGGATAAGTTTCTCTTGAGGTGTTATTAGTCTGCTTATTGGCTGGGATTGCACTTTGTTGCTTGTTTTATCCTTGTTGGGTCTTTTGCCCCATCCATATACTCTACATATTTCTTATTCATACAAATTGTCTTAATTTCTAAAAAAATTAAAAAAATTAATAATATACCCAAAAAAATGTATACAAATTTTGACTGTTGCTATAATCTAAATAGGCAGAGACCCTGCGGTCAATTTGTTCATGTCTCTAGTTGCTCCTCTGAGTTGGAGGAGCTTCCTCCAGCTCCTGCAAGAGCATCTCTGAGGAATTTTGATCTCCCACGCACTTTTATTTCCTAATAAATATGCTTTGACCCAGTGGGTCCATTTGCTCCCGAGAATTTCTTCAATCTTATTAGTACTGGAAGATCTAAACTCCCTTCCTCTATTGTCTTGCACACTTTGTGTCGAGCTATTTTGCACTTGAATTTCTAAACTCATTACTCGTCCACAAGGAAAACCTGAAGAAATAATTAAGCTCTGCAATAACCTTTTTTCAGTAAGATAATAGTTAACCTAAGTTGAGTGGATTCTAGTGAGGATAGATTTTATTAGACTAGTCTTCCACCAAAAGAAAGTTACCTAACTAGGTTAGTGACAAAATTTGGTAACCTGTTTTTTTTTTTTTTTTTTTTTTTTGGATATGATAGTTTTGAACAAATGATATGAATAAAATAATGATGGCTAAGACAATCAGTACCCTAGGTTAGACCAGTCAACGGGTTGGATTCGGACCGTGAACAAATGATATGAATAAAATAATGATGGCTAAGACAATCAGTACCCTAGGTTAGACCTGTCAAAGAGTCGGATTCGGACCGGATCATGGTCAATCCGATTCAAATCCTATAAGCAAAATAACTGATCCAGTCCGATCCGATAATCCGACGGATCTTTTACTAATCAATCCATATCCGACATTAACGATATCGGACGTCCGATCCGATTATATATTATACAAATGCAGTTTGAAGAAATACAAATCAAACAAAATGATCCAAATATACCAAATATTAGCATGTATTTGATCTACGAAATTCATCTGTGAAGATCATTCCATTGCTGAAAATATGTTTAATTTGGTAAAAAAATGAAATCAAAGTTAGGGTATTAAAAGAGAGGGAAGCAGCTTTTGTAATACATACCAAAAATCGCCAAAAAGAGATAAAAATGAAAGAACAATTGAGTGGGAAGAAGAAATTGAAAAGTGAAAGATATATTCTGAAAAAACATAAAAGAAGGAAAATTAGGGCTAGATAGGAGAAAAGGAAGAATACAAGAAAAGTGAGAGAAATAAGTAACCAAAAAAAAAAAAAAAATTACTTCGCAAGCATTCCAACCATGGTTTCGGCAATCCATTTGCTGACTCGCCCTTCGTCTTCCACTTCCGGCAGTCCATCTGCGGCCTCCCCAATTCCCCTTCACTTTTTGCCTCTTTCAGTTTTCATGTGCCCTAAATTAGGTGATATACAACATATATATATATATATATATATATATATACACACATAATATAAGTATAATTATATATAATTTTAATCGGATCGAATTATTATCGAATCGGATCGCCCTAATCCATATCCGATTTGTTAAGATAACGGGTTATCGGATTCGGGTCATTATCAGGTTATCGAATTTTTTATTCAATCCATATCCGGTTAATCGGATCGGATTCGGATCAGAATTCGATCCATTGATAGGTCTACCCTAGGTGTTGAACCATCCATTTTAAGCCACGGATTGGTTTTAAATGATACTCATCGGGCTTATTAATGGGGCTTAACCAGGTCTCCAATTATTGGGGTCCAATAGACCATGCAACATTGCTTGAGCCAATAACGAGGTTGGGCTTCCAAGACCATGAGTTTGGTCTCTTTATGAGAGCAAGCAGGTATCATGTGTAAGGCACAAGGTGCATGCACATGATGCCCCTTCAGACGGAAACGAATTTCTGAAAGATGCCCATTTAATATATTGTGTGGAAGCGTGAAACAAATAATAACAAATGATAAATAAGAGCAAAACACACATACATAAGGAAGACAATGATTTAGGTGGTTCGGGAGATTAAGATCAATGTTTGGAAATATCAAAACCCAAAGGGTTACAGAAGGCTCATAAGAGAGAAATTTATACAATATTTCTCGTCACACTTATTTCTCACACAACACTCATTGAAGCTCTTGGTGTATTCTTGGATATTTTACAAAGTCTTCCAACGTTCTCTATTTATAGGAGAACTGATGCATGAGTTTAGCTGATATGCCGATGGTGGAGTGCTGATGATAAGGGATGGTGGCAGACCCACGTTTGCCACAACCACTATACCAAATTTGAGCCACTAATAAGACGTGGTAATAAGGGAGAGTGGCAGACCCACGTCTAACTCACGTTTGCCAACCCACATCTGCCATAATCAACAATCTCCACCTTAGCGAAAAATCTGTACATCTTTCGAAGTGAAGTATTTCCAAACATGATCTTGAACTGCCTCAAAATACGCCTAAAAGGTGCTCAAACTCGCAGGATGTTAATCAAGTCTATGCAGTGCTCAAACTTAACCTTCGTTACAACCTTCGTCAGCATATCTGTGGGATTATCCGCAGTTCCAATCTTCTGAAGTAGAATATCGCCTTCATCCAAAATCTCATGAACAAATGGAAACGGACATTGATATGTTTTATACGTGAATGATGAACCTGGTTCTTTGTCAAACAAATAGCACTTTGACTGTTACAATAGACATTAATATGCTCCTGAATAATCCCCAAGTCCTTAATCAACTCATGTAGCCATACGGCTTCCTTAATGGCTTATGTCACTGCCATGTACTCCCTCTGTAGTAGACAAATCAACTGTAGGCTGTAATGTCGACCTCCAACTCACCGGTCCTTTAGCAAGTGTGAACACATAACCTATAGTTGATCGACGTTTATCCAAATCACCAATATAGTCTGAATCCATGTAACCAACCAAATGCTGACCAAGTCTATCATCCCGTTCAAACTTCAAACCAACATCCACAGTACCTTGGATGTATCGTAGAATCCACTTCACTGCCTACCAATGACCTTTTACTGGGTCATGCATATACCTGCTCACCATACTAACGGCCTGTGAAATGTCGGGTCTTGTACACACCATTGCATACATCAAACTTCCAACTGCGCTAGCATATGGAACATGAACCATGTATGCACGCTCTTTATCTGTGCTTGGAGATAATGAAGCATTAATCTTGAAATGATGGGCCAAAAGGGTACTTACAAATTTAGTATTTGAGTCATACCAAACCGATGTAGCACCTTTTTCGAATATTGCTTCTGAGATAAATAAACAGTGCCCTTCATTTTATCTCTGCTAATCCCATTCCAAATATCTTCTTAGCTTCACCAAGATCCTTCATCTCGAACTCAATACTCAACTAAATCTTCAACTTATCAATTTCAACTTTGCTTTTAGAAACAATTAACATATCATCAACATATAAGAGCAAATATACAAATGATTCATCACGAAGCTTACGAAAATACACATAGTGATCAAAATGGTTTCTTGTGTACTGTTGCCCTTTCATGAACTGATCAAATTGTTTGTACCATTGCCTTGGACTTTGTTTCAACCCGTACAATGACTTCTTCAGTTTACGAATCCAATTTTCCCTTCCAACAACCTTGAATTCATCTAGTTGAGACATATAGATTTCTTCCTCCAAATCACCATGTAAGAAAACAATTTTGACATCGAGTTGAGCTAACTCGTGTAACGACCCAGATTTCTCAACCCAGTGCGTTAGTGATGAACCGGAAGTTGACCCGATAACAAACCCGAAATGCGGAAGCGAAAGAAGACAAATGACCTCAAGAGATGTACGTCATCCCTAAGGCCTCAAAATGACTCTCCATGAAGCCACAGAACTCAAATGAGCCAAGCAAATGAAGCAAGAATGCCTAACCCGAAAAGAGATGAACTAAGGGCAAAATGGTCATTTCTCACTGAAAAGGGTGCCACCGTGGGCACCATTGGAAGGACAACGAAAAATGAACAAAATTAGACTCAAGAATCGTCTGATTTTGAGTTCGGGCAGAAAAGATATGAAATTCCAACACCCGATGCGAAAGCTATGAAGCAATGACTTAACATTTTCTAATATTTTCATAATAAATTTTGAAAACAAAAGTGCATAGAAAATGAGATACATGTCATTGGCCTCCGGCCTCATCTTATACATGTTAAATACATTGAAAAGAGTGCACTTACGTACACTTTACATATACGAATCAACGAATACAAGTTTAAACAAATAGGGCTACAAAGAGGCATCTTATGCTAACACTTGCATAAAATAAAAACATAGAAACTGTAAGCCATCCAAGGAGCAATGGAATCTTCAAATCCTGAATCCTGTACCTAAAATATGCCCCAGTATCGTAGGGGTGAGTAACATAAAGCTACTCGTAGGAGATGAGTGTGCATCGACCTAGCATTTTACAATTTTATCACCTTATGGTGAAACATGTTAAATGGGCTCATGCCACCTAAGCTTTATGTCAAGATGAGACCCAGGGAGCATCCTAAGCTACTTAGATCATTTCTCTCATAATCACATTGTTCATGCAATTCAAACAACATGGAAACATATTATACAAGGCAACAAGATATAGATTCTCAAAGTCTTCAACTTGAAATCCAAAATACGAAAACAACAAGTGTGGGTCATGCCACCTAACGTCTATGTTCAAAATGAATTTATAAGGTCATTCCTAAACTACATTGAACATCAAAACACAAATTATGATATCGATGCAATTTAACCAACAATAGAATTTTCAATACAACGCATGAAGCATGCTTTCACAAAGCTACATCTTAAGCTCAAAATAGGAAATCAAATAAGGAACAACAAGTTACGATATCATCTAGTTATCAACTTGAAATGAAATACAAAATCAAACAAAGTAGATACTCGGACGTTACGCCGAATCAGACCGACAACATAGTTACTTTAGGGTTACTAGCCCATAGGTAACCTCCCTATGTGCACACTAAACTGTATAGAGGGACAATCCCCCGTACTAAAACCAAGTCCTACCTATAGCCAAACAACGACATCCCCAAGTTTCCAAAATCAACAAATTGTGCAACAACGTATATATATTAACATGTATATACAAGATATCAACTATTTACCAAGCACAATCCAAATTTTGAAAACTTATACAATACATGCTCAAAATTCACAAGTACTATGGCATGTAAGATGTCAAATACAAAGTGTGCAATTCCTTACACATAGTAACAATATATTCAATAAGGAAAAACATATTCTCGTGAATATAAAAGGAACAACTATGTTATCCAATGCTCAAAAGTAATCAAGTGAACATACATCAAATCCAAATCCATGATTTAAATATAGAAACAATTTCCAAAATGCAATTAAATCCATGGAGTAATAAAGTAGAATTTAATTAAACATAAATAGATAAATTCTCTAAATTTCAAGTTAATCCAAATAACCTCAATTTAATATATATTGAAAGACATGTCATGATCATCATATATATAACATCAAATGACAAGTTAAGTGATTAAAACACTTGAAACAAAATTAATCAAGCTAATTAATTAATTTCCTCTAGATTTTTAAACAATTCCAAATGCCCTCAATTTAATCTATGTTAGAGAACATACCAAGGCCTATTTAAATACCACATTACAACTTGATTTAATGCTTGATACAACCATGTGAATTAAACTTTCACTAAAGATAAATATTAAATAAAAGTTGTAATTCTTAATCAAATGATGCAAATTTAATAAATGTTAACCAACATATCTAAGCATAATTTCCTAGTATGTTACAATTCAAATCAAAGTTATACATTATCATAAAATTTAAATCTTATACAAACAAATAAAAATTACTAACTTTCTAGATTTGATACAAGGTATACATATATGTTGTATAATCATGGCAAACACACAATACAATACACAAATAATCCTAAAACATTCCCTACCTCTATTGGAATGAAAATCCCAATTACCACCGAAATGAAATCGCCCCAAATTTTCGGTCCGCAAAACAGATTTTTCAGCTTGCTACCTTCAACTTGTAAAATTCATAAAAAAATTCAATTCTAAACCAAATTGAATGAATCCAAAGCCCAATGAAAGCTTAAACACTGTAATTTGATAATATCAATTTAGTTCAATAAAATATTTTCTCAATTGAAACAGTTTTGAACCACAACTTTGAAACAAATTCTGCCCAGAAAACACATTTTCAGCCTCTAGCTTCCAACTTTGAAAATTCATGAAAAATTCATTTGACATCCAAATTGGGCAAACCTAATTTATTTTGGAAGTAAACATATGAGAGTGTAAAATTGAAAATTTAAGCCATGATCCAATGTCAAAAGGTTAGTGAAATAAATCATGTAAAAATATGTTTTCCAGCTGCAATAAAAACATGGACAGCAGATAGTTTCGGATTTTTAAAAAAATTTAGAATTGCTCTAAAATTGTGAAAAAATTCTGAGTAGTGTACAACCCATGGGGGAAGTTCCAGTAAAAATTTCAAGGCAATTGAAGTACCACAGCTCCATATAAAAATTCATTTCTAGATTGAAAAGGAAAAACTTCAAATTTCCAGCAACTAGCTTGCAACTTCAAAAATTTATAACTAATTCATTTTAAATCCAAATTACATGAAACCAAAACTAAATGAAAGCTAATTGAGTATATTTTCATATTCTATATTTAATTTGACAAGATTAATTTTAAGTTAAAACAGTTTAAGAGCAAAATACAAGTCCTTCTCTTCCATGCATGTAAAACACTCAATAATGACATAAAAATACTTCAAAATAATAGATCAATACCTCACTAGAGAATTGAATCTCTAGATACCAAAGCAAAATTAGGAGTTAGGCTAGATCCTTCAAGGGTTTTGAAGAGGAGAGTGGGAGGAGCCTAAAGTATTCCAAGTTCAAAGTTCTAAGGTGAGTGAAAGGGCACCAAAAATGAAGTCAAAGCTACTAGTCAAACTTTTCTCCAATGATGACTTCCTTAGGGTTCTTGAGAGGAAAGTGATGAATGAATTAAAATGTGTAAACCCTAAGCTAAATTGGTGGGCTTCTCCACCCACTAGGTGCTCTTGCACTACCTCACACACACACACTAATGCAAGACTAAAGGTGAGTCCTACACTTGTCATGACTTTTACAAAGAAAGTAAGCATTTAATATGCATTTCTACCAAACTAAAAATGTAGATGTCATGGAATTTAAATATCATGGACGTATGCCAAACCGGAATCAAATCCGAGCACAAAAAGTGAGGTTAAGCAAGGAAAAATGAAAAACAACTAAATGACGAAAAAGGGAAAAGACGAAAAAATAAATAGTGTCAAAAAAACAAAAAATGTGGAAATGACTCGGTCCTCAAAGGAAGTTGTCAATCCAAAGGAAAGAGTCTCAGAAACCATTTCCGAGCACTGGAGACGACACTAAGAGGCGGGAAATCAAACCCGAAAAGGAAAAAACAATGAAAAAAATTTATCCGCAAAATTTGAAGAAAGGGAAAGAAATGAAAATGACTGGGTCATTACAACTCGAGATTAAACTGTGCAACCAAAGCTAGCAAAATACGAATGGAAGAGTGTTTCACAATAGGCAAGAATACCTCATTATAGTCAATCCCTTCATATTGTACGTAGCCCTTCGCCACCAATGTAGCTTTGAATCTCACACTGTCTTGCCCTGAAGAGCTTTCCTTCTTAGTGTATACCTTCATCTTTATGTTTCATGGAGTACACCCATACTCGTCAAGAGAATTCATCAACAAATAAGACAAACCAATGCTTACCTCCCAAAGATGCAACTCTGGTAGGTTCCCAAACATCTGTGTGAATATAGTTAAGTATACCCTTCGTGTGGTCTACTACAGTGCCAAACTTGACTCTTGTCTTCTTACCCAGAACACAATGTTCACAAAATCCAAGCTTGCAGGTCCTGGCACCTTTTAATAGACTATGTTTTACTAGTCCCTGCAAAGCCTTCTCACCTGTATGTCTCAAGTGTACATGCCAAAATCTGGTAGTATCTGATGCATCTGTCTCTAAACTATTTGCTACAGTTGTTGTGCCTGTAACTGTATTTCCAAGGAGAAAATACAAGTTACTCTTCCTCTTACCCTTCATCGCAACTACAGCTCCATAGGTAACCTTCAGAAAATCTCATTTCAGCGTGATCTCATAGCTTTTTTTTACTAATGATCCAAGTGAGATGAGGTTTTTCTTCAAATCCAATACATACCGGACATCTTTGAGAACTCTGACTATTCTATTGTGCAACTTCTAATGGATCTTTCCTATTCCCCTTGTTTGACAGGCATAATCATTGCCCATGAAAACATCTCACCATCCAACTCCTGAAAATTGGAGAACCATTCCCGGTTGGGACACATGTGATAAAAACAACCCAAATCCAAGATCCATTCATGAGAACTGAATCCAACTAATACAGTCAAAGCAAACTTTGCAGTTTCATCGTCACTGCTTACAATGTTAGCGGCAATTTTCTTGTTATCCCTGTTTTTCAACTTAGGACAATCCTTCTTCCAATGCCCTTTATTGTGACAAAAGGCACATTCATCTTTAGCAAGATTTTTCCTGCCCGAAGTTTATGCTCCTCTCAATTTAGATTGAGATCTTCCTTGGCTACTAGACTTCTTCTGTTCTACCACGTACTATTAGAGCTCCAGCTGTTAAGTCTCTATGAACCTCCTTATCCTTCTTGCGAAGCTTATTATTCATGAGAGTATTAGTGACATCAACATATATAATTTCTTCTTTTCCATACAGTAGTGTGGTAACAAGATGTTCATATGAATCAGGCAGAGAATTCTACGATATAATGCTTTATTTTCATCATCAATTTTTACATTCAAATTTTGTAATTCAGCAAAACTTTTGTTAAAATTGTTCAAATGCTTGGAGATAAACATACCTTCTTTATAATCAAACCGGAAGAGCTTCTTTTTCAAATAGAGCCGATTTTCAATGCTCTTAGTCATATATTTGTCCTCCAGTTGCGTCCAAAGCTTGTTTATTGAAACTTCATGCATGAAAGGATATTTCTGATCCTTCCCGAGATAAAGCCGAATTTAACCACAAGCCTACGATTGATCTTTTTCCAATCTTCTTCCTCCATTTCTTTTGGTTTCTCTTCCCCCAAAGTAGTGTTTAACTCTTGTTGAGTCAAAACATCCAAAACTTCGCATTGCCACATGCTGAAGTTGTTTCGCCCGTTAAATTTTTCAATATCAAATTTTACGATTGCCATTTTTTTTTTCCAACGATCACGATCACCCAAAAGAACTGGTGAATATTATCCGGACAGAAAATGAACTTGGTGCTTTGATACCAATTTTTTGTGCAGAAGCATGAAACAAACAATAACAAATGATAAATAAGCGCAACCCACACACACGAAATGATGACAATGAGTTATGTGGTTCGGCAATGTGCCTACGCCCACCGGAGCTCAAGATCAATGTTTGGAAATATCAAAACCCAAAGGGTTACAAAAGGCTCACAAGAGAGAAATTTATACAATATTTCTCTTCACACTTATTTCTCACACAACACTCACCGAAGCTCTTGGTGTATTCTTGGATATTTTACAAAGTTTACCAACGTTCTCTATTTATAGGAGAACTGATGCATGATTTAGCTGATATGCCGATAGTGGAGTGCTAATAATAAGGGATGGTGGAAGACCTACATCTGTTCCACGTCTGCCAACACCACTATATCCAAAACCACTATACGAAATTTGAGCCACTAATAAAATGAGGTAATAAGGGAGAGTAGTAGACCTACGTCTTACTCACGTCTGCCAACCCACGTCTTCTATAATCAATATAATCTACATTACATGAGGGGCAACTTCGATGAGAGATGTACAGTATATGCATCTTTTTTTTGTTAAAAAGCTACTTATTTTGTAGAAAACCTATAGCCCTTCAAGTATTGTTGTCGTTTCCATCCTTCGCATTGATGGGGCATGACTGTTACGCCTCTCAGCTTCTTTAAGCATTAGTCTATAAATACCCATAATATGGGGAGAGAATTCTCGATGCTTTTATCTCTATTTTCTAAGGGAGTTTAAGAAACCCACTTTCCCCTTTTCTTCTCAATTATTGTGGTGGGACTTTAATAGCTGACTCTAACCACTCTGACTCGAATCTGGGTGTCAACAGAAGTGGTGGCCTTATCTTGTAAGTGAGGGCTAGGAGAACGAGGTCTCCTTACAATCCTCTAGAGAATCTTCCGCCCTTAGAGGCTCCCATCGTCGTTGAGCTCCTTTTCGCTGAAGTAACTCCTACTAGGATAAATCCTCCTACCGTCGAAGAAGTCCCAAACGCTAAGGAAACCTCGATAGCAGTAGTGCAAGTTTAGGGACTCCTGGAGATGACTAACAATCTGCGTCAACTATTTGAAGACAATCTTGGGACCTTCCGAGACTCGTTCCTTTTAAGGTTAGAGGTCAAGCTATTGTGGCTCATCTTTGAGGGTTTGATCGGCAAATAGCCACCTTAGAGGTGGTGGTCATAGAGATTACGCCGAGGAGAATCGCGGCTGGTAGACCGGTAGCCCCCTCAACTGAAAATGGTACCTCATCTAGGACGGGCTTTTAAACCGCCGGCAATTTGAGGATTTTTTTATTTTTTTTTATTTTTTTATTTTTAAATAAAACGCATAGAATGTGTGCCCTTTTGATTTTTGCAAGAAAACAAATGGTAGAAAACTAAAGGTGGCGATGGTTGAAGGTGGTAATGGTGGAGAACAGTGGCAATGTTGTGGAAGTCGGTAGTGGTGGTGGTAATGGTCAAAGGAAGCGGAGGCAACGATGGTGTGGTGGTTAAAGGCGGCAATAATGGTGGTGATAGCAATGATGATGGTGGAAGGCAATAAAGGTGGCGGTGGCGAAAGACGGCTGTGGTTGTGGTGGAAGGTGGTGGTGGTGAAAAGCCATCGTAATGGTGGAGGTGGTGACCATTCCATAGGTTGGAATGGATTTTCATTAATGTGGAATTGATTTTCATTCCAATGGAATTTTCATTACCACTTTAAATCAAAGAATGGTTAGAATAGGCCATTCCATTCCTGTAGACCAAACACAACATTAATGAATTCTAAGTCGACGCCGTTATTAAAAATGTTTAGTATTATACTTTCTGCGAAATTTTAAGTACATTGTGTAAATATATTTAGATAAATAAAATTTATTAGTGTTTTTAAAAAAAAAAAAAAATAGAAAATAGAAAAGTTAAAGAGAATTGATAAATGTTATTTTTTTAAAAAAAATGTATTAATATATATATATATTTTATAATTACATAACTTACTAAATAACTTATTAGTTGATTTCTTTCTTATTATTACTGTATTAGTTTTGCAAGACAAATATTAGAAAGAGCTATAAAAAAAAAAAAAAGGAAAAAAAAGAAAAAAAAAAAAAGAAAAAGAAACAGGAGGAGGAATCTAAAAGGTCTCCATACACGTGAGGGAAGAGATAGTCCCCATATTATTCTATTTTATATTTTTATTTTCTTATACTCATATTTGTGTAAAAAAAAAAAAAAAAAAAAAAAAATAAGATTATCATTTGCAATACCCAGCGCCATGGCCCACCAATTCAGTGAGTTTTTCCAACTTGAAATTAGGCAAATCAATGTTATAAAACCTTGATTCAAAGACGCAAAAAGAAATTTCTAATTTTTCTCTTTCCTAGTGACAGATCCTCATTTCTTCTATAATTTCCATTTTTTCAGTTTCAGGGCAAAATGTTAGGGTTCAATACCTTAAAGTAATCTTTTAATTGGAGATCAACCACCAATAATCCTTGGAATTGGGGATTAGAAACCAAAAATTCTAACTTTTTATTCATAACCCTAATTCTTAGGAAAATAAGGAATTAATAGACTTCCTAAGCAAGAAAATAACAATTGAAAAAAAAAAAGACTGCCTAATATAGATTTAGAATAATATTTTGAATCACGGCTTGTCCTCAAGTCGAAAAGTTGAATAAGCTACTTTATCAATCTCTCCACTTATGAGCTAACGAGTGACAACTTGATTGTTTAGGAATGTTAGTTTTCAAGCTCTACAACTCCGACCTCTGTTTCACCTTCCAGGAGAGATATTTGAGATTTGTTACACCAATGATCAAGCTTGTACATCTCGTCACAATTAAAATAAAGACCCTTATCACGTCTTTCCTTCAATTCAGCCCATGACAAACGTTTAACATTAGGAGATAAAAGCAGACAATAAGGCATTTAGGAAAAATAAAAAACAATAAGGCAATAGGCTTATGTGCATCTAATACATTAAAAGGTCGTGAAAGAGATAGAGAAGTAGAAGTTGTTACTGGGCTGTGGTTGCAATAATTGTGTCTTCCTGACAGAGTGATAATTCAAAGGCTTTGGTTAAACTCATCTGACAAAACAAATGAACACCCGTTTTTATATCTGCACAAAGTCCAGAGATAAAAATACTAACTTAATACAACTTAAGTATACCTAAAACCATATTAACAAGTCGCACATATTCAGTAATAATTTCTTAAATAGTGTCTATAGGTGCAAAAATTCGCTAACTTTGAAAAGTCAAAGATCGATTGCTACATACTCAATAAAAGCAATAAACATAAAGGTGTGAGATCAAATTGTAAATATTTATTGAAGGTCTAAGCATTTATTTATACAGATTCATGGAAGAATTGGGGTTGGACTCGCATTGCTTGCCCCGCATGTTCCTTCCACAGTTACTGGTTTCCTTGTACAATTTTTCCACGTAAGAAGTTTACGATAATTACAACTTTGGTGCTTAGTGAATTACTCCAATGGGCTTTCTCCATCGTGGATCATGACTTGGGCTGGTTTATGTACTTGGGAAGCTGAAAGATGGTATATTCCTTTGTTTTCAGCGTGCCTCTTTGGGCCCTTATAGTAGGGCAGCCTAAGAGAATTTTTATGTAGAATTCTTGATAACGAGATGGTTGATTTTAATTGGACAGTGAGATTCCCCCCCCCCCCCCCCCCCCCACCCCACCATGTAAAGTTACTCAAAGTGTAGAGGACGGTTTGGTTTGTGGCCATTAGTATTCCTTCGAAACTCTCTTTAGAGCTTGC